TAGACATGCAAATGCACTAAGACTCACTTAGAGGATCTATTGAGACATGGTTCTTAATCTTTAAGACTTATCATAAAACACAATAAAAGGTACTCTCCCTTCTTCCTAGAAAAGAGAAACTTTTATCTTTCTGCCTACTTGATTCTTCTTTATTCGTTCTACTATTCATTGAAACTCTTTCAATCAATCTAAGAATTACACTTAATCTTATAAGTATAATCACATTTACTAAACTTTAGTAAATCATGACGAATATCTTTGTCACTCTTGTGGTGGACTTGATCAACGCACAACCTAGTGTACTTGATCTCCTAGTCTTTCAACTGACACTTTGCCAAAGAATTAGTCTAAGTTTCCCAAATGTGAAAGTTTTCCATTCATCATACAATACACATTGCATGATTCCAAGTTTCTGTCCAATTGAAACTTGGGCGATGAGAAAATCTCCCTATTTGGTACACTTTTGACATTTCCATAATTAAGAATCAAATCCATTTTGCTAATAATAGAAGTACATGAACATCAATTTTTCATATATTTCATTGTAAGGATAAATAAATAAGACAAAATCAAAATTTATTTTATTGCGGAAAAAACTTGTCCTTACAATGCAATTCAACTGAAAAACTATGTTAACAATCTATTCTAACTCCAAGTTGCAGCTCAAGAATCCATTCTTCAAGTAATGCGATCGAAATCCATTTCTTCATGATCAGATTCAGCTCACTTCTTTTCTCAAGCTTCCTTTCTTTTCTTCGATCCTACAAAACATCAAAATGTAATCTTATCACATCATGTATTAAGAATCTAGAATAGGAACTTAAAAGAGTTAGTTAATGGATTTTACCTGAAGCAGAGCCATACGTCTTGACTCTCCCATCTCTTAGATCTCTCAGGTAATTAGGGCAGCTTCGTCTCCAATGCCCCTTCTCTTGGCAATAAAAGCAAATAGACTCCTTTGCACAACACATCGGACAATCACAGACTTAGTTCTTTCTGGACTTCCAATGTTGCCAGTGTCCATTGAAGTTTGGGAGTTTGATTCACTAGACAAATTTGCTTGACCAGCACGCCAAATCATTGCTGATTCAGCAGCTATAAGCAAATAGGTGAGATCAATTAGGGTCACGTCGTGGTCCATCATATAGTACTCTCTAACGAACTCACTATATGATTCAGGAAGTGACTGAAGAACCCAGTCAACAGCCAACTCACTTGAAATCTCGACACCCAACATGTTTAACCTATCAATGTATGACTTCATCTCTAAGACGTGCGCACACACCGGTTTCTCATCTTCGTGTTTACTTGCCAAAAGGGCTTGAGTGAGCTTGAACTTTTCAAGCCTTTGAACTTGTGGGTCAGGGAGAATAATTGGAGGAGGTGGAGGAAGTGAAGCATGACTCTCATTTCCTTGATCGTATCTCGGAACGTCATCTTCATTTGGGAAAGCTTGTTCCAAAGGATTTGGGAAGACCATTGTAAGATTCAGACATCTACAAAACGGGATAAAATTCAAGTTAAGTTGATTAGAATTCTTGATGCAACACCCAAATGAAACATCAAGCTAGGATCCAACACAATACTCTACAACCTAGAAGAGGGATGCCGTAATCTAGTTGCAGAATATTTGAAGGTAGGTAGATGACGATTTACCAATTTCCACCATGAAAAACGAAAAAGAAGTTTAAATTTTAAATGAATTGAAACTCCTAGATCTTTTGAGACTCATTGAACTCTTCAATGGCATGTTTAATCTCGATTATGCCCTACTATTTGTGACTGGGATGCCGAGGATCACAAACAAGGTGTGAATAACCATACAAATCACGTGGTGCACCCAATGCTACAATCACCTAATCAATGTGCCGGTTAGCCACACACGCTCCATTGATCTATGATAAGCATCGAGCCACCCTTCGCCACCAATGTCATCCCCAAATTAGTGTGCCGGTTAACCACACACGCTCCACTAACGTTTGACAAGGGTACGAAGTGTAATTCCATGGGTTAGCATACAATTTCACATTTTGCCTAAAGTAACTATGATTTGGGAATTTGAAAAAGCATTTAGTTACTTTGTAGTTCATTATACTTATAATGGATGGTTTCTGTCCTATCCTACCCGTTCGGCTAACGACCCTCCACTAGTCAAGAGTGCGGTGGGTAAGAGTGGATACCCATTCAATCGCCATTTTATAGGCAATTTCCTTAAACACCCCTTATAGACTAGCTTCGTGAATGAGGCTTACTAACGGTAAGACTGACTTTTTAGTTATACATATATAATATTAAACTTTTAATGTTATATATAGTATAAGGGTGTATTTTACACTTTTAAAATACTAGGTGGTTTAAATTATACTTTTAATTAACCAAAATCATTATGGATTTATTAAATCTCTTTTAATTATACACTTAATTAATTTAATAAAACCATAAGGGTTTAATTTGAACTTTTCAAAATCAGGGTTTTGGAATTTAGACTTTCAAAATTAACTTTTAATCAACAATTTAAATTCCAAAACTTGAGGGCAAGTTTTGAAACTCTTCAAAACAATTAGGTTTTAATCTCACTTAAAATTTTCGAATTTAAGACATTTGAATTAAAATTTTAAATATTAAAACTCTTGATTTAATAATTACCATAAATTAAACAATTAATTTAAATTATTAAATCACAAGGAATTATCTAGATCATGAGGATAATTACCAATTATACATCTAAGATATCCTAATCCCTTGAATCCCTCTCTAAATCTAGAAAATAAGGGATGGGATAATTCAAGATCTTTAATTACCATATTTAACAATTAAAAGATAATTACAAGATATGGGATTATCCAAATCCCTAAAATTTAGGATCTAACCTTAGGGAAGGAGGTAATTTCGAAATCCAAGGGTTGGATAACCCTAGATTTCAAAATCATGGAGGCTAAGGAAAGGATTTGGGAAACCCTAGCAAAAATCGTCATCAAGGGTTTTGCAACCCTAATTGCGAAAATTACCTAGCCTTTAGGGTTTATTAGCCATAAACCCTAATATGTCAAGTTCACAAATTTGAATAAAAGCTAATTGAAAACAAAAACCAATGTCTCTGATACCACTGATGGGTTTTATACAAACAATCCTATGTGTGCATGCAACCCTAGTATTGGATCTATGTTTTCCCTATTAGTTATACAACTTTATGAACACAAAAAGAAACCTGGCATGCTACTATAATTTTCGAAATTCATATATAAAACTATAATACATACTTTTTGTTGTTATATAGCAATAACAACTTGTTCCTTGAATTTCCTTAGCTCTTGAAAGCAAGTACCACAAGTGTAGTACCTCTAATGGAGTCACAAACACCATATGCAACTTGGATGAAGAGGAGAAGAAAAAGAGGCACCAAAAACGGCTGGAAACCCTAATGGAAGTGTTGTCCACGTTTTTGGAGCCTAAGGGGTCCTTTATATACTTGTGTGGGCTGCTAGGGTTTCAGTCAAAACCCTAATGGACAGCTTAAACTCTAAGCAGCCCATGGAACCTTCTGGATAAGGCTATGGACGAAAATATGATAGGCTTCCATCATAATTTCGTTCACCCCTTACTCCTTTAGCATTCCTTAGCCTAATAACTCAATTATCCAATAATTGCAGTCCAGTCCCCTAAGTTTAATTAATCTCTTTTAGCCACAAAATTAATTAACAATTAATTCTTGACTAATATTAATTAAACAATATGATTTCTCCTTTAATATATTATTCTCATAATATATTAATAAATCATATTTAAACCTTTCTCTCCTTAAATCATCCTACATATTGCTATGGTGAAGGCAACCCAAAAGGACCATGCTCATAATCGGGTCAACTACATACCAAAATAGTTATGGACTTAGACACTAATCCAACACCCGCATCCAAAATCGCGATCCTACTCGACGAGTTTGAGCTCCAACTCGCCGAGTCCACTCACAATTCTCCAAAAATACAAATAATAATAAATACCTGGAAATCCGGGCTGTTACACCTTAGTAAGTTTTTCAAGGAAGGATTTGACAAAAGCTTGGGTGTATTCACTGTTGGAAGAGGCTTTGGTGGACTCAAGTAAAGAATCACACTTGGTATTTAGGGCCTTGAACTGCCTTATTGTCATTAGAGCATCATCTTCGTCACTTTCTTGTTTGACATTAAAAGGATTGTAGTGGAAGTCTTCAAAAGCATCCCGATCATCACCAAACATTGTAACATGATCATCTTGACGAAGAGGTGAGATGGGAGTGAACTCAGTACCAAAAGAAAAACCAAAAGCCCTTGCCTCCGTATCAGATATGTTACCAATGAACGGTGGTGAACTGGTGGTTGTTGTTGTAGTTGCTATTGAGTCTGTGAAGAGACAAACTGATTGCGCAGCAGATACCTGAGATTGCGAAACTCCCATAGAGACACTCGGGCATGGAGAAATTGTTATTGGTGTTGTTGTAGCAGTAGGAGAAGGTGAAGTAAAATCCTGGAAGAAGTCATATGTTATTGGAACAAAAGTGGGCACATAAAAAGTTACCTTAGGATTCGTAGTTGAAGGCTCCAAAACCATGGGTTGTGAAGACACATCAGTATCTTCAGTCTTGTGTTGGTCTTTCTCAGGTATACAAACATCGGAGATGGTGTGAGACTTCAAATCCTCCTCATTGCTAGGTGAAGGTGTCTTGGGCTTGCGAGCGGCTCGCTTTTTATTCTTTGGAGTTTGAGAGGGATCAGAGGGGCCATCATTAGCTTTTCGTTTCCCCCTTTCTTTGGTTTGTTTGCTTCTTCTAGAGTATTTTGCATTTCATCGGTTAATTGACGAGGACCGGATGTCGGAACGTTGCTAAGCATCGTTTCTGGAATTGATCCGATGAAAGTGAATCTTGAGCTATCGGACACTATAACATTGGAAGTGTGAAAAATCTGAATTGCTGCCACTGCTGAACCCTCAATCACTAGAATGTTGTGATGTTCGATTTCCCTCTAAACAATAATGGCCCAAAAACGAGCACAAGAGATCTCTGTATTTAAATCCCTAGCAGATGAAAGCCCCAATAGGCGACTAAATCTCGACTTGGTGATGGTTGTTTGTTGATTACCAAGCTCGAAAATTATGGTAGCACTACTCTCTTTATAATGAGCAGTCGAGAAAGCGTTTGAGAGATGAACTAGAGTAACATGTACGAGCTTTGATAGAGCACCAGCCAATAGAGAGTGTCTCAAGCATTCAATCAGTGGTTGGAGAAAGGCGTCATACTTCGACGGATCGAGGTCCAATATCAAATTCTGATTAGCCTTGATTCCAAGAAGTCCTGATGTTGTAGTTTGATCGGCGCCAGATGGAGTTTTTGATGATGCAACCATTGAAATCGACGGAGAAGACGATGAACAGACGTGAGAGAAAAGGGTTTGCTTGTGCCTGATAATTTTCGAAATCTTTAAAAGTAGTAAAGGAATTGATCGATGATTTACCTTTTATACATCGATTTTGGAGAGAGAAATCCAGCCGGTGACCGTTCCGTTTCCCAGAAAAAGCGCCTGATGTTAAGCGGCGTAACTGACAAGGCATGATGTCAGGACATTTGAAAACATGTGCCTAAATCGATTCTTCTCCCTTAAAGACCGCCTTTTCTGTTCTACCCATTCGTAATTGTTCGCCAAATTTTGTCCTTCGAATCTGAAAGTAATCATTAGAACTACGAACCAGACTTTTTGAAAATCACAAGGATCTTCGTGCAAGAGTGTGCAAAAGATAAAGAATAAAACAAATTATCTAAGGGATTCTAATAGATCTAGAATCATTTAATTTACACCCTTTGGTTGTTTACTAAAACAAGTACCCAATTTATACTTTATATAAACTTTGTATTTTCATTCATTTGCTTATTAAAGCATTTCATATAAATAGATACCGAACAATACATATTTTACTATCAACAATTTCCTTATTAGATTATTATACTTTTAAGGTTCATCCATTTATATACATTGTATTCATTTACTTATTTATTAAAAGTGATTGGAAGAAAAGGGTATGAATGAGTATATTGTCTATTTCAATAAAAAGGAGTAAAGCTTAAAATAAAATTTCAAAAAAAAAAAAAATAATAGTTTAAATAATATGATTTTGCAAAGATTTTTTTAAATTGTTTAAAAACATCTTATTTTATTTTCTTTTTCTTATTAAAGCATTGTATTTAAATTAAAATGTTATAATTTGGCATAATTTGAAAAAAAACCATCTAGTTATAACATTGTACTTTCAAAATATTATGCTTTAATAGTTGTAACATTTTCTAATAATTTTTAGAAAGCCCGCATATGGTTGATGTTTTTTTTGGCAGCCTACATATGTAACACAAGTTGAGAAAGAAGTACTTATAGCATTTCTTGATGGTTTCTACACCTAAGTTTAAATAAGTTATGTATGTGTTTGTATCCGGGTGTATATGTATGAATATGTAATCTATAATTATCATTTCTTTGCTGTTAGTAGTAATGTATTTCCATTATATTTGCAAATATTCATTAAAATGACCATTAATGAGTTTTCTCTTTTATAGCAATGTATTTTTAACAAAAAAAATAATAATAATGTGCCTCAACACACGGGCTTAAAATCCTCATTTTAAATAATATTGAAAGACCAATGTATTGTTTTTTTTTATTTTTTGAAAAATTCTAATGTATTTTTATTTTTTGTTAAAAATAAATGTAAAAAGATAGAATAATTGAAAATTTTTACACCGATTTTTGGTAGACGATGAATAAGAAAAAAATCAAAATTAATATAATAAAAAAGAATTATTTATCTTGAATAACATTAATTCAACAACCTTAAATATAAGATGAGATAAATATGAATATGAATGTCTAATATATATGTTACCATCTAAATTACCTCTTAGAAAATACAGTTCATAGTAAATTTAATTTAATTCTTTCATATTTTAATAGATGGGTATTTTGATAATTTAACACGTCTCAAATTGATAACGAGATTGTATTTGTTTTCAATAAACAAATAGTCCGATTATATTTTTCTTCCAAAAGAAATAAATCAAATGCGCAAAATTGACTTCATGGAAGAATCTATTTGTACCGATTCAATGTTCTCCAACAAACGAATAATATAAACTTTTTAGGTACATCTTAATGATGCTTATTTTTATTATTATATTTGATCTTTTAGCATTATATAAAGTTGCTTTCATACAAATACAATAATGAAAATATCTCTTAATAATTTAATGACGATTAATTTTAGTTTAACAGTCAAAGCTATCAAGAGTCTAAGAACCCCACGTCGACATGATTATGGATTTGCTAGACCAATATTCAAGAATTACACAAAATAAAATAATATAATTAAAATATTCAAAAATATATATTATTAAAAATAATTATGTCATTATCACAAATTATAAAATAGTTATTATTATATTAAATTGTTATAAAACCTTGTAATTTTTTAATATACAATAAAATAAATATAAATTTAAATCACTTTATCTAAATAACATCTACTATATTGTACATAAAAATAATAAAAAAATTATATTATATATTATTTATTTCTAACTAGAATGATGGTCAACTTACATATACATTTTTAGAATCATATTAGCTTAATTAGTAATTAATTAAAAAACTACTTTGAACCACTTGGGTTGTGGTGACTTGGTAAAGCATGTGGAAGATATGGTGGATAATCTTTTGATCCATGTTCAAATTCTGGCACCACTCAGCCCTTGTGGCCATGGAGGTTCGCCTGCAGTGACTCCAGGACATGAAGCAAAGCTTTATGTTTGCAGCAGGGGATTAGTCGGTGCGCGAAAGCTGGCCCGAAAACCCTCGTTAGGGAAGTTCCCTTTCAAAAAAAAAAAAAAATACTACTTTGAAAAAATAGTATTATAAAAAATGAGTTTTTAGTTTTTTTTCTTGATTTGGTACTTTGTTTATGTTTTACATTCAATTTTATCATGATTAATCAACTTAGATCGATGTCTTTTAATTTATTTTTAAATTAAGATCATTTCTAAATTTTAATTATGATTATTATTTCAAATATTCGTTATTGTTTGCAAAATAACTTTAATAATTTTTATTAATAAAACATATATCTTTTCAAAAGTTTAATTATTATAAAGAATAGTTTTTGGTTAATTTATTGTTAATATCATATTTCTATTTAGGTTTTATATCTATAATATATTAATTATTTTTAAAAATTATCTATAGAATTTCTTTTTAAAGTTATTATTATTATTTTTTATTTTTATCTTTTGATTTATGCTTTGAATTTAATACAAATTATGTATTTTTCTGTTATTACTTATAAATTGGTAGCATTAAGAAAATAATATTATATTTCTAATTCAAATTAATAAATTAAGTATGATACAAAATATTTCATTAGCAACACTAGTTTTTTGTGGCATGTATATTTTAGTGTCATTAAATCATTTCATTGAAAATTCTAAATTTTCATTTCCTGCTCTTTATTACTTCCAAGATTAAAAATGTTGAACTCATTTTTAGTGTGACATATATTTTAGTGTCACTAAATCATTTCATTGAAAATTATAAACTTTCATTTCATGCTCTTTATTCCATCCAATATTAAAAGCGTTGAACTCATCCTCACGGTTTTAAGTTTTATCAATATATGCCTAGCCTACTTAAAACATCACACTGATAATTCAGTGTTTCAAATTACTCAACCAGTGGTGCTCTACAAGTGCAATATATCAAACATATTGATATATTTTAGTTGTGAGATTAGTTCATTTTACTATCAACTACACTTCAATTCTCTCTACTTCTTATCGGAGGCATAGCTCCCCCACTCATCCCAAATATATCTAACTCCAACTATGCTGCAAACCTTAACACCAATCAAATCATAACTCTTGTTGTAACATCCCAAAAAATCATAGTAAATTTTTTTCATTTTAAATAAGTAAAACTATTCATTCATTGTTCCCAAAACGATCAGATTCAAGCTATTCTCAAAACATTAGAGTAATTTGTAAACATTCAGTGCGAAATAAATCTTTAGTGGATGCGGCTCGATCAACCCGGACCCTTCCTTTTGAAAACAGAAATACCTGAAACCATAAACATAAAACCGTAAACAAAAAAAATAGTAAATTCCTCAAAATACCCAACACAATAAACATATACAAACGTATATGTTGGGTCCACAATCTCCCGAATGGATTACCCCTGGATCACAATCTCCCGAATAGATTGCCTCTGGCCTACAGTCTCCTAACTGGATTGCCTATGGATCCATAGTCTCCCGACTGGATTACCCCTGGGTCTATAGTCTCTCGACTGGATTACCCACTGGCCCATAGTCTCCTGACTGGATTACCTATACGTCCACAACCTCAAGACTGGATTACCCCCAGGTCCACAGTCTCCCACCTAGATTACCCCTGGTCCACAACCTCTCGACCAAATTACCCTAGGTTTGTTGGCGTACAACACAAAGCGATACTACCTCAACCCAACCACACTATATCAGCAAATGCAAACATATAAACAATAACCAACAAGTACATGTAATCATACAGATCTACCAATCTAACATATCACTACAACATAGTAACATCCTATACACAAGGATACATGATACAATCTAGTGGGACGACATTGGTGCCTTCGACCTAGGAGTACAATAAGGAAAACTCACCTGACTCATAAAACTAACTACAATCCTAGCTCAATGTCCCATCGACCACAACTAACAACTCTCATCGCCAAATGATGGGTGATATACACCTCCTTACAATTCATATAAGGCAAACCCTAAGTCGTTCCACAAATAGAAATTTAACCAAAAGTCAACCCATACCAAAAGTTAACAGTCAAGTGAAAGTCAACATCCTAAAATGTCAACCATCAAGACTCATGTCGTGAATAGTCATGAAGATTCCCGATCAGCGTCTGGTGCTCTATAGACATACGACCATCATCCTACCGACTTGTAGGAATCCAATCACCATCCCAATCAACACTTGTTAAAACCTCAGGCGCCATACCATACTCTAATGTGCAACCCTTCCACAGTCTCACAACCATTCATGGTACAACCTAATGCACCCTATAGAATGCTATGAGCCATGTCGTAGACTTACCATGCTTCCGCAACCACCTACTAATCTAGGGAGTGTTATGGTTTCCCCATCGTCTTGTAATACTCCCACAACTTCCATGAGCCTAGGCCATGGTCTTGCAAACTATCAACAAGTATACCTAACCAAAGATCAATACGAACCGAACCCACATCCTGCTAAACCATAATCAGGTGTTCGATTCATACTTCGAACCCTAAGGCCCTTATCAACCAAGAACAG